CGTCCTCAGCCACTTCCAGGAGTTCAGCGTCAAGAGCAGTGACAGCTATGCCGAGATGAAGTTCTATGTAAGGCTCTCTGGCTGCCGCACTTCTCGGGGATGGGGTACTGGGGAAGGGTCTTGGCACCAGCCCTGTTGGGAGGAGGGTCCCAGCACCAAGCCACACCAGCTCCAGCCCTGGTTTCACCCCTTCGCTGAGCCTTTCCCATCTCTCTGTCCTGCAGGTTGTCATCCGGAGACGTCCCCTCTTCTACACTGTCAGCCTGCTGCTCCCCAGCATCTTCCTGATGCTCATGGACATCGTGGGCTTCTACCTTCCTCCCAACAGCGGCGAGAGGGTCTCTTTCAAGGTCACCCTCCTGCTGGGCTACTCCGTTTTCCTCATCATTGTATCTGACACGCTGCCGGCCACTGCTGTTGGCACCCCATTGATAGGTATGGCAACTCCTGCTCCGTACAGAGCCCACCAGACCGCTCACCCAGGACCGTGTTCTCTGTCATCTCCACTCACCTCAGTGGTATCTCCACAGGTGTCTACTTCGTGGTGTGCATGGCGCTGCTCGTCATCAGCCTGGCTGAGACCATCCTGATCGTGCGCCTGCTGCACAAGCAGGACCTGCAGCCCCGTGTTCCCACCTGGCTGAAGCACCTGCTGCTGGAGCGAGCCGCCATCCTGCTCTGCATCCGCAATGGGAGGAAATTCAGCCAGAGCAGGACGCAGAGCTCGGACATCTCCGGGCAGGAGGAGAACAACGACAGCACGGGTAAGGGCTGCGCGGGGAGGACTCTGGGACCTGAAGGGGACTAGGTTCTATGTCACCATCTATGCCTACGTCTTGCATGGTGACCCACATGCCCAGGCCACCCACAGAAATCCCAGTTCCCTGCCTAAAGAGATGTTTCACACTTGCCTCTCTCCATCCTGCAGCCAAGCTAAGCAACTACAGCCACGAGGACCCTCGGGAATGCGATGTGGAGGGGGACGTGACACCTACGCCGGCCTTTTCTGGCCAGGCGGAGGGCTCGGCGCTGATGCAGGGTGTCCTGCGTGAGACTGCGGCCA